ACCACAACCACCACAACCACCACAACCACCACAACCACCACAACCACAAGAACTGAATTCTGACACTCCTGGGCTGATGCAATTTGCATTTGGCAGAGACTGTCATCCCTTGAACAAGGAAACCCGGAGCTCCGTGATGGGCAAACTGAGTCATGAGCGAACTTTTAGCATTTCTCACCAAGCTCTAAACGGGGCGTAAGGAGGCGCCTGCTGCATGCCAGTGCCCAGGAAAGGAGCATAATCGGCCCAACCTGCGGAACGGATCCAGCTTGGCACTTCTGACCACCCCTTGACGGTGGTACCTAGTTGGGTGCTGGTCACTTTTGTCCAGTTTGGGATCCAAATGAATCCACAAAACCTGGGAACTGTGTGGCGGCAATGGTTTCTTTTCAGAAGGGACCAAGGGGATGAGAAAACATCGGAGGTGACCGATGCGTTCAATTCGTTCAATCAAGTCTTGCACCTGCGGGTACTGCACATGGTGGACCTCGACTTGTATCACTCTGCTCCGCAAATGCGCAAATGCATGACTTCATCAAGGATGCTCCCTTTGATTCAAGGATTCTTGGAAAAGGGAACATCTTCATAAGCAATCTCAATCCCGAGAACACAAATAGTTTGGCTCCTCCAAAAAAAACGACTAACTAACATCCTTCCTTCCTCCATCTTGAGACCCATCTCTTGCCTTCATCTACAAAGACTAATAAAAGACACATCCAAAAAACAGTTGAAAACACTTCACCACATCATAGAAGTGACTGTTTTCACTCTGTGTGCTGCTTTGTCTTTGTGCGCGGGAAATGAGGCACACATAAGGCCAAGACCTGAAGCAGAACTGTTGTGGGGTTGCTGGAAAAAACCGCTAAAATCCTGAAAAAACAAGCCCCTTCCGTGTTTTCACGGGTCTGACCAGCTCCGCCTCCCACATCCTTCATCCATGTGGAGGTTCTTGAGGACCTCACCCATCCCTCCTTTGGTTTCATGTCGAATGCCCCTGCCTTTCCAGCCGGCCATGATCTTCATTTCCTAGCGTCGTCCGCGCTGCCCATCGAACGACGATGTGGGCACCGGCCGGTGCGCGATGTCGGTGGACCAACCGACGTCTTGATCGGCGTGCTTGGCCGGCCGAGGAAGCATCTGTATTGGTTCAAAACGAGAATGACCAAACCCCTCCAGTGACCCAAACCTCAACTGCTGATTCGCAACCAAATGTTGAAACACCCTAGCTGATGGGAAACTGGAGCAAATAGATGTTCAACTCTCTGTAAGGCCCGACGTCTCTTAGAAGGGACTTGTGACATGTGTGTGTGTGTGTGCGTGCACGCCCGTGCACGCCCGTGCACGCGCGTGCGCTCTCTCTCTCTCTCTCTCATGTAGTGAAAGCTGCTGCTTCCAACGATGTTGCTTCCAATTGCAGGGCAATATCACTTTTCAGGCTGGAAGCTACAAGCTTGATTGAGGCTTTTCTGAACCGCCATTCCATGAGGAGAACCAGTCCTGCGTCAAAACGTCCCAGTGACTACAGTGACCTTCATTGTATAAACCCTGTGAAGCCACTGTGACATTCTAGGCTTGAAGGCCTCTAATAGTAGACATCTCAACTCAGGTCTGGCCAAGCCACAGTCTCTCCATGCGTGGTCAGCGGAGCTGTGAAAGACACCTGGGCTGGGCTGTGCACACCTCTCTCCAGGAGTTCAGGTGGCAAATGACTTCTGCAATCGCCAGTGAACCAGTTACATTCGAACGAACAAGTCACATGGAAAGTGGACCATGACCTCTAGCAAGACCGCTTTCCGCCAAAACCAAGGGTGAACGGATTGGACGACTCACATTCTCAGTGACGTGCCCGTGGTAGCCCGTCGTTTTCTCGCTTGCAACACGACGGACCAAATAAAAGCCTCCCCAGAAAGAGTGTCCAAAAAACAAGAAATGCCGCCCAACAAGCCGACACGATGGACAAACATATTACAAAAAATGACAGAATGCGTGTGGCAAACCCATGGGTGCAAACCATTCAAACCTCTGCACCCGGCTTTTGTGGAGCCTAAATTGGGCCGCCTTTTGAGGGGCCAAAACCGCCTCAATCGGGCGTTGCCTTTCGGATCCTCTTGAGGCGCTGCAAGCCAAGCGGCTGTGGTTTCGGTGAGGGTCACAGTAGGTACAACGACCAAACCCAAATACACCTGGCCGGGACCAGTCGGCAACGGACCAACGGCAGGGCCGGACCGGGCAACGGCTGTTTCCGAAAAAGGCGTCTTTCGACCTGCTTGGACCTGCTTGGATTTTTCTCGGAGTGCATGCAGGATAGATTCAGGGCTGAACAAGCAGGAACCGCTCACGTTCGCACAGGAATCGCTCCTGGCGATGAGCGCGCGCCCATCGATGTTGATGCTATAGCAGGCTTGTGGAAGTTCTATGTGCTTCTAGCAGTCCACAATATTACACGTGATCCTCTTCCCCCCTTAAGGCACTGGTTGCGGCACTGGTTGCAGCACTGGTTGCGGCACTGATTGCGGCACTGGTTGCCATTGTATGTGTCAAGGACAGGGGTACACGGTCCGCACAGCTCCCTCATCCACCAGCCTTCACGTCCGCATCCATCAGGCCATCAAAGTTGCGGATCTGGATCACCACGCTGTCGCCTTCCACCATGTTCACGGTGTAGTTCACCCAATCCTCGAGTGCTCTCAGAAGGAGTTCCTAGAGGTCTGACCCCGAGCACCGCCCATGCACCGGTGCCAATTCGTGCGACATCCGCACTCGCCTTGCGATCGCAAGATGCCTGCTGCAGAGGTAAATCAGCCATCTCAGTTTTGACCTGTCCGAAGTCTGGTTACTCAAGATTGTTCTTTTTTGAGCCTTTCAATGGAGCAGCTCGATTCGGAGCTAATGCATCCTGATGCGTCACGCCATGCACCACCCTCCACATTCTCAGGAGAAGAAGATCATAGAAGAATCCAAGATCCAAGATCTATAAGCATTGGACCCAGGGACCCATGCCTAATCATAGAAGATCTAAGATCTTCTATCTTCGGGGCCATGCATGGCCACCTTCCCTTTGACACCCCATGCGTTCACAGCTCAAACCGAACGACGAACCGCGACGTCGCCGTCAGCCTCTCGTCGCCGAGTCGCGGAGTTCCCGTTCACGCTGATGACGTCGATGTATGGCTGCTGTGCCTTGGACCCGGGAGGAGGGCCGTGCTGGGTCGTCCGGTGACACGGCGGCTGTGCCGGCACACAACCCCTTCCACGAGTCCCTATCTATCTCGTCACAGTAGCTGAAGTAGCAAATGATGAGATCTTGCGTGCAAAATGAAGAGATCTTTAGTAAAGTCTTCCTGGATGGTGAGATGAATGCTCCCGTTTGCAACAAGCGACGCTTGGTCATCTTGAATTCTTCTAAGAGCTTGCAGAAAGTAAGCAGAAAAGACCGGATGAGTTTCACCCCCCAAACGACGCGGACGCGTCACGTGCGTCACGTGCTTCTTGAAAGCCCTACGCGCCTCACTGAGGTAGGAGAAGCCGAAGGGTGTCGTGGGTTCGTCTCCTGGTCGAAAAAGCGACCGGTCAGTTGAGTCCCAGGGCCCGCTGAAAGAAACAGTAAAGAGTTGAGACCGGGCTGAGCATGGAAGAAACATGTCCGGAGCGAGTGTGTTTGGCTTCTCCGGAAATCCGGAACTGGAGTAACTGGAACGGTTGGTTTCTGGTGGATGTCTCCTTTAGCTTGGTCCGGCCACTCCTCCAAAACAAATGGTGGAGTTCATGATGCCCACTAAAAAGAGGAGACAAGATGGTTCGCAACATCTTCTGCTTGGTTTTTTTTCAACTTAGGCTTTTCCTTTGGAACACCTATGTGTTAAAGGGTCAAACTGGCAGTGGACCATGTGCTATTCGAGTCATTGAGGACCACTGCGCACAGCACTGGGGGACCTGTGTCAGCCCTGCATCCCCCTCAGCGCGCCCTTGGCCGTGAAGGCGCCCCCAAGTGCCCTTGCCTGACTCTGGAATCTCTTTCGGAATACTCAAAGTCGGTGAGAAGATTCCTGCGAATGATGGGCACGCTTGCGCTCGCTTGCACTCGCTTGCGCTTAAGTGCTTTGGCAACATGAGGGATGGAAGCAGCACGGGCACACGTGCCAGAGTTTGGAGCACAAAGAAAGATTCAAGCTTTATTGAAAGGACTGCATCGTTTGCAGTGATGCCCTTTCCTTTTGGTACCTCTCTCAACCATGCCAACCATACCTAGAATCATCTACAATCCGCACATGCACAACCTGATCAACTCAGAATTGAGTTGGACGCAACAATCCCTCCCAGCGGCTCGCCGCCCGGCTCGCCTAAGCTCATGTTGCTGTTGACTTCCACAAAGCCCGGTTGAAACGCCGGTGCCAAGGAGGACAAGACCGAAACAGGATGCTCCAGCCTGCGAGGCGCGCCGCATCGTGCGCTGCCTGTGCAAGCCTTGTGCAAGCCTTGTGCAAGCCTTGTGCATGCTACAATGTCTCGGGATGTCTGAAGAAGAAAGACTTACAAACTGACACACAGAAGTTCTTGGTTACCTTCGAGCCGGTTATGCAAACTTATGGCCTGTCCTTCTTTATTCCCTGGAAGTGCCAGTATTCTTTGCGCAATATGCAGCACAGGACAAACTAAGGATCAAATCAAACGCCATCTGCTTGGATGCCTGGTGTATTCCACCCTGGAACTCAGCTCTTTTAAGTCTTTCTGAGATAGCAACGTTTCCATATGTTGGCATCAACATGAACGCAACAAATATACATCAGATTGTCAGTCAGAGAATATCGCCTGTACCAAATCTTCCTCAAACTAGTGCGATCTTCCTGGTCTAACAAACAATTGCAAAGAATGAATAAATCTTCCCCCAAAAAAAAAATCAGCTGTATCTGGCTACATCTGGCATGATGGTCTGATCTCTAGCCCATGGGTTCACCATGTTCCGATCAAGAAAACATCCCAAGCTTCTCAAGCTATCCCCAAAACGGATTAAGAAGTTCAAGGCATCCCTACAATTCAATCCGTTTTGCCCCCCCCTTGGCCCGGTGACCTGGTGCCTTCTCCTCCCAACTGTGTGTCCTCCTTCGACCGACCCCGGTCCGGTCCGCTCCAGACGCAGTCACCCCTCCGCCCCCCCGGGCCGGAAGAGGGAGATGTCGGGAGGAGACAGCAGGCCAAAGCGGGAGGATCCCGAAAGCTCGGTACCTGGTTGTTGCTCCAAGCAGAGAAGATCGGGGGGGCGAGCACGCGCTCTGCGGCAGAGCGGGTTGAAAGAGATCACAGGATCTGTTTCACTGGATTCACGATGGATTTACTATGTGTATCATGGTCGTGGCTTGCCAGCATTCGTTCAAGTTTGACCACTGGCGTGAACCGGGCTGTACTGTTTCTGAACCCCAAGGCGCCAATCGAGCCACTCTTCCACACTTCTGAGTTCCAGACTTCCCAGGATGCCTTCTTGGACGTAGTTCCATCGGAAGTCTGGAGCCGGTAACCGTCGCCGAGCGGATCGAGGCGTGTTGCGCGTCCGTTTCGCGCGTTTTGCGCCACACAACGAGAGAGGCGCAGAAAAGGCGAAGAAAGGGGAGCGAGCGACCTGAACGCCTGCTATCGCCTGCTTCGGTGCAAAACAGCCGGTCGGAACAAGAAGATTCACCCTGGCCTGCCCAGCTGAAAATCAGTCAAGAAAATCGGTATATCAAAGGACGGGCAAGGGTTCACCACGATTCACCTGGCCTTGGCGGAACAAATGCCCGCACTCGCAATCCAAATCCTCAGGTTGCACAGCGAACGACTGCGAGGTAGAACACCTCGGTCCCTGGTGTTCTCTCTGCGCAGGCCCCAAATCGGTCCCAAAGAAACTGTCGCGCGCTTCCTCGAGAGGTTCCTTCATCTTTCCGACATCTCCAAGTCCAAACTGCGGAATGGAGTCGACCATGTGTCGTATACAACATGTTGTGCCAACGGGGGGGGTTAGCCCCGCCGGCAACATATATCCGATCATATCCGATCCGTTGACTAGTCTTTCAGGGTGGGGGGGGTTGGGGTCAGTTTCGTCCGTGTTACTACTCGCGTACATCGACTTTGACGTTGACTTGTCGACTCGGTGACCTTTCGTTCGCTCGGTGACCGCTTTTCTTGGCTTAGAGGACATGACGGGTTCGACGTTCGAGGTGTGTTTTAACACTGCGTATGGGTTTTCTTGGCCGTTGCGATGCAAAACTGCAGCGACAGCACGTTGAAGGCCTCGCAGCGTTGTGGTTCCGCCAACATCCAGGGTTGGACTCAATGCTCGAGGCTGTCAGAATACATAGAGAAGCTGTGCAAGACACTTGTCCACCAGCTCAAATGTGCAGTGAGCTCAAATGGCTCAATTGGGAACAAGACTTATGTCCGGCGGCAAAAATGAGCCTTGGCAAGCTGTACATGGAGCAGGCGGGTGAGTTGGGTCCGTCAAAACGCATTCAACTTATCGTCTTGCAACTCATGAGTTGCAAGACGATAAGTTGAGTGTCCGGAAAGCCACGAAGCCCTGTAAAACACAGGGCATTTCACCCTCGGTGTGTTGCGTTCGGGGCTAACCCCCCGTTTACCCAACATGTTGCTATGACCAGGTCACCGGAAAGCCTTCTCACCGACATCTCCACAGAGTCCCTGAGATGTTAGCAATTCAGCCCAGCGGCGTTGTTGTAAAGCATCCAAATGTCCCAAATCTGAGCGGAGTGGAGACGGAGGGTGTTGGCCTGTTCAAAGTCCTCCTCGTTCTCCGAAAAAAAAAAAAAAAAAACATGGAAACAAAGCCAACAAAGCCCCTTCCATGTTTGGCAAAAGATGGGTGAGGGGAGAGTAGGCCCGCAAAAAAAAAGGGTAAATAAAATCCCTTGGGTCCCCAATTGCAGTCCATCTGTCTGTCTAATCTTTAATGTAGACTGTTGATTGATTAGAAAACCTAATATGGAGATGTAACACCATTCTGGTAGGAAGGTTTTATTCATCAACAGTCTACACTCCCTGAAAGAATCACGGAAGTAGAAACAACCTGTTTGTGGAGGAAAATGATCACCCGAGGACTCCTTTTCCACTTCCATGACTCTTTCAGGGAGTGAGCTGTACATTAAAGGTTATATAAATCCAGATGTTCAAGAACCGTCTCACATGTCATGCCCATCCGCCCCATCTGCCCCATCCAAAACAGCGATCCGTCGGAAGCCAAGGCACATCGGTGGGAAGCTGGCAAATCTGTGAACAGCGTTCCGCCACAATGGCCGTGTCCACAAACTCCCAGGAAAGTGTCCTGAGTGTTTAGTGTTCGCTTGCTTCATGGATAAGAATCATGGATAAGTACCTAAATAGACGAGCCAAATTGGATCCTCATGTTTCCAACACATGCTAAAGTATGTTACAGTACTGCAATTCAACTTCTTGGAACGGGCTATTGGGGCATTACAATGTCACGCATGATTCCTGAGGATTGATTGTTTTTGTACAGGTTGCATCTTGCCATCAAAGCCCAAACCTATGAGTTTCATCTCTGCTTCGATCAGCTGAATTGCGTTGCAACATCTCCTACTTCTCCCTCGGCATATACCCAGCATCAACTCTAAACACTGGTCATGCTGCCACAATCAACCTGCTATTTTGCCCTGGATCCTTTGGAACAAAAGGACGAACGGATCGACCACACATCGACCCACATGGACCTCCTTTCAGCTCTTCAACCCACGAAACTTCAAGGAATCCCCATCCCAAAACCTTAGGCCCAAAGCCATGCGCCCCCAAAACTGCCGCCCTGGTACCTCCCCAACTTGCCCAACCCTCCAACCGCCCCAAGAAAAAACACGGTGCACCAGTTTTTCGTCCAGACCGAGCATCATGTTCGTGGTCTCGTTCGCGCTGCTGCACACCACGCTCACCAGGCCCGCCCCATTGTCGCCGCTCGTGGAGTTCACACACCGGTCGCCTAGCTGCCGCGAACGAGGAAACGGTGGGCCCGGGCCAGTTGGGTGGTGCATTGGGCAGTTGGGTAAAACATCAAGGATAAAAAAATAGAGGATAGAGTCCCTTTTGACCAGACCTGGCGCCCCTTTTTACTGTCTATGGATAGGGATAGCAGCGTGAAGAAGGTGAAGTCTTGTAGGAACGCTGCGCACCCTGGAGACTCTGACTTCTGGGGTGCCCCTTCTTTTTTTGAAAGCCAACCTTTTCGTTTCCACAAACATCCAGTATCGAAGCAAAGGACTGAATCAACATCTACAATGTACAAAACCCTTGCAGCATGGCTGTCTGATCCTAGTGTTCAAAAGAAGAAAAACGGCTGCAGCCTGCGGTTTGTTTAGGGAGTTGTTTATTTTTCTCCGAGGTACAGAATTATAGACAGCACGAAGCAACCCTATCCCCCCAAAAAAAGACTAGGCAATTTATGCTCATGCCTTTCTGCTCAACTCCACCCCACCACGCAACACGGCTTTATGTTCTGGCAAGCCACCGGCAACAACGAGTCGTGATTGGCTGTCCAACCTTGTTTTGAGAAGGCTTTGGGGGCACGGCGTGTCATCAACACGGGACACAATTCTTGAGTGATCTTGAGTGGCAAAACGTCAAAGAGTATGCAAACAAGGAGATCTCACATTGGCTTTGCTGTAGTCGAGCCCATGCAAGCAACACGTGACTCTACAAGTTGAATCATCTCGTCGGCGAACAAGTCGTAGAAGACAAACAAGGCATCGCAGCATCCTCTATTGTATTGGTTGTGGTCTGGTTCAACTTGAGATATCTACCGGCACATTTGCCACATCGCCCAGGCAGTGTTCACAACTCTCCCCGAACCTGCAACGAACTGCGGGCTGCCAAGGAACGCGAAGAGGTTCGAGGTAGACACTCCATCGCAGGTCGTCATGTATAGTGTAGGATCAGGCAAGAGATCAGATCCCTCCTGAAAAGATGGATGTGCTAGATTGAACAGTACAAAGCTAGTTGTACCGACGAGCTTTCTTGGGATCCTCTGAAAAGAACAGTCCAAATTCTTCCAATCAAGACCGCGGTGATCATACTGAAACCCAGTCACTCACAAAAAGCGCCATAAACACGTGGAACCCCCATGGGGCGGCCGTCCCCCCTGTCTCCTCTGCATCGGTCACATTCACACAAAGCCCATCTGCAGCGCGTGCGGCATGCATCGCATAAACTCAAGAACTCGGTTTCAGTCTTGATTTTGCAATAAGACTCTCCCCAAAAAAATGAGAACACGCCCTCATTCGTCCTCCTCCCAAGCAAGAATACACCTTCCAGTGCCGCCAACCATCGCCCAACTTCAATGAAAAACCCAAACAATCAACAATTCCCCCCCAAAAAAAAGAAACAGACGCAACACCCATCCTTCCTACTTCCTTCCTACTTCCTTCCTTCTTCGGCACTTCATCGGGTCCGATGAAACACACGAGTCCGATGCCCCCCCCCCCGGCGCTTTGGAGGTTTCGTAGCTCTCCACCCGAGAGCTGAAAGAGCTGATCCTCGGACCGGGCGCAGAAGGCGTTGACGGGCTGGGGTGAGGATGGTGGGGTCTCCGGTGGCCCCAAAGGCCCGGTGTCAGGAACCCAAAGCACATGCGGATGGGTGAGAAATCGAAGCTGAAGATGGAAGCGTGTGAAATGCAGTCGTGGTGTTGATGTCCAGAAAGACTTTGACGACTTGGGGAACAGGTCAAGCAGTGTTCTAACAGCACTTAAACAACACTAGTAGAGGCCATGTTATACATTGTTGTACCATTTTCGCAGGTCCCAACAGCTGGCCATTACCTGTCTAACTTGCCCATTTTTCGACGAAGTCCAGTGACGAGGGGAGGGGAGAGCCTCTTCCTCGTGTGTGGAGGTTTCCCCGACTGGACTCCTGGCTTGTCGGATTTGTTTGCTTCTATACTTGACACTTCAAGCAGCCGTTGGTCGCCTAGTACCGGTGGTCGCCTACATGGACTACCTAGAAAAGATGCATTTTCCACAGAGCACCCAAGGTTGCATGGCCCACCTTCCGTTTCGTCATGCCCCTGAAACCGAAACATGATCCAAGATGAGAAAACTCTAGAAAACTCATCAACTCCCCATCCAAACGAACCGCACGAACCGCTCGCCCACGGCCGATGCCGCTCGAACCGCTCGCCAACATTCGATGTGCAAGGGGCCGTGGTCGGCATCTGGGTGATACAGGATTGCAGCTCCAAGATCGTCGGATCCAAATCTGGCAGATGCTGGGCATTCCGGGCAAAAGCCGTACCGGTCAAAAAATAGGGCGAGGCACCCGAGCAAAGGAGAGGCGAGATATCGGTTCTTTTGCAGTTAGCAAAACAGTCTTTTCTGGTGGTTGTGGAAAAAGAATTTGGAGATGGTGAAAGTTTGCGGGCCAAACCAAAAGGACTAACTCACCATGACGTTCCGGAAGACTTCCGGCAAACCCTTCCACTTCGTTCTGGCTCTGCCTGTTGGGTCCATGCATTTCATCGTGCCCGCATTGCGCAGCCTCGGGTCATGGTCTCTGCGAGTCTCGTGTCAGGCGAGTCTCGGCGGAGCCGTTAACAGCTTTTCCTTTTTCGCAAAAAAAAAGGCCGGGTGGATGTTGAACATCCGCAGTGTTGAATGAACGAGTCAAAGAACACCCACGGCGGATTGTCTCCAACTTGGCACGTGGATTGAGCACAGACCTTGAAAGGGGTTGGAAAGAGGCTCTGTTTGAAGACGTTACCTAGCAAAATACTCCAACGGTAGAGCTGCCAAGTTGCCCAAAAAGAAACAGCAAGCCAGAAGGTGAACGAACAACAAGTTCCAAACTCAATGCGGTACTGGAGGCAGTGTTCACACTTCCATCAACGGGGCATGAATTTGAAACTCCGGGCAGGGATTAGATTCTATCCATCTATCTAAATCAATCAATCAATCAATCAATCAATCAATCAATCAATCAATCAAT